CAATGAGAAAGAAATCATGGAAACATCACCTTTCACAATATCCACAAGCAACATTAAATATCTGGGGGTAACACTAACCAAAAAAGTGAAAGACCTGTACAATAAGAACTTTGAGACTTTAAAGAAAGAAATTAAAGAAGATACCAGAAAGTGGAAAGATCTCCCGTGCTCTTGGATAGGCAGAATTAACATAGTAAAAATGGCAATCCTACCAAAAGCAATCTACAGATTCAACGCAATCCCTATCAAAATCCCAACGCAGTTTTTCACAGACATTGAAAGAACAATACTCAACTTTATATGGAAAAATAAAAAAAAAAAACAGGATAGCCAAAACAACTCTTTACAATAAAGGATCTTCTGGAGGAATCACCCTCCCTGACTTCAAGCTCTACTATAGAGCCATTGTTCTAAAAACAGCTTGGTATTGGCACAAGAATAGACAGATAGACCAATGGAATCGAATTGAAGACCCAGATATTAACCCATGCACCTACGAACACCTTATTTTTGATAAAGGTGCTAAATCTATACAATGGAAAAAAGATAGCATCTTCAACAAACGGTGCTGGCACAATTGGATCCGGACATTCAGAAGATTGCAGATAGATCCATACCTGTCACCATTCATGAAACTTAAGTGCAAATGGATCCAAGATCTCTCCCTAAATTCAGCCACACTGAATCTTCTAGAAGAGAAAGTGGGAATTACCCTTGAACAAATTGGCACAGGAGACTGATTCCTGAACATCATGCCAGTAGCACAGACACTGAGGTCTGCAATTAATAAATGGGACCTCCTGAAACTGAGAAGCTTCTGTAAGGCAAAGTTCACAGTCAGTAAAACAAAACGACAGCCCAGAGAATGGGAAAAGGTCTTCACCATCCCCACATCTGACAGAGGGCTGATTTCAAAATATACAAGGATCTCAAGAAGGTAGCCACCAAAACACCAAAAAATGAAATTAAAAAGTGGGGTGCAGAACTAAACAGAATTTTCAACAGAGGAATCTGAAATGGCTGAAAGACATTTAAGAAAGTGCTCAAAATCCTTGGCAATCAGAGAAATGCAACTCAAAACAACTCTGAGATACCACCTCACACCTGTCAGAATGGCTAAAATCAAAAATACCAATGACAACCTATGCT